ATTAATACAGGCCACATTTTTATCTCATCTGAAATAATTACATAGGAACTGTTGCAGTTAATGAGTCCAGATATAGGAGATTATCCTGTCAGTCTAATTTATATAATTAGACTGACAGGATAATCTCACATTTGTGCGACTTTCATTGGGTTGACTATTTTAGAGGGAAATAAGAACTTTAGACATTTACTGATTTATTACATTTTTAGAGGGCCAATCTTTCCAGGTTTTGCACAGTTAGCTAAACATATGTCTAAAAGTCTTTTAAAACAAAACACTACAACACATTTTTGTGATATATTTGTGATTTACAGTGAATTAATAAATAAGGCCAGTAGGCCTATGAGTAGTGTTTCATCAGCTGCCTGTCCAGCTTAACTGTCGCAGCTTTAATTAGGTAGCAAAGGGGGAGTGGCTATCAGACTCCGATTATGAATGACAAAATAGCCTTATAATTCATAAACTACATGGTTGAGTACATAGTGCATAGTCTATAAGTGTATATTGTATAGTGCCTCCTTTGGGACGCAGCTACTGACTAGTGGTGTATTTAAATTAATATTTTGAATTAACCATAATCGCTGTCACACTTGACTGTTTTCCTGCCTTCAAGAAGTAACTGAACTGGGATATTTCGTTTGTTGACACAGAGATCTGACAGACTGAACAGATATGCCATTAATTTAGTTCGCTATGTCCATTAATCTTTTTCACAACATGAAGAGAAGGGAGGTGTAAGAAGAATTGGAAAAAATTATGACCACACTCAATTAAAAAGCGTATGGACATTACTGAAAATCTTTATTATTTAGGCTTTAATTGTATTTATTCTATTCTGTGATTAAATGAAGGAAGATGGTTTGTTGTCATGTGTGGAAAAAACACTTCTAATGCTTAAACATTCTTTTTGGAGCCTCTTAGTAGATTTGTAGACACAAATTTGAATACAGTTTTTGTTTTGATTGTTTAGTGAATCGGTTGAGTGAATGATTCAGTGAGTGACTTGCTCATAGCACACAAAAAGACTCAGTATCACCACCTACTGGCTAATTAATGTAACTTACAAAAAAAGACTGACCGAAGTAAAGATTTGCGACACTGGGATGAATCAAATTCACCACCACTAGCTTTTTTTCCCTAATTTTTATGTTTACTGGATCGTTTGAAGACCTCATTGAAACCTATTTGCAGGCGCAGTTTCTTCATTATGGTGATAGGGCGATGCACCACCAAAGTGTGAAAGGGAGGAATTTTTTGTTATCACATTCAACCACAGTGTTACGCTAGCTGTCACTGTTCTTGAATCTTTGTTCTGCCTGGATATATAGTCCAATCAGCGTCAAGTCACATTATGTGGAGTACCTCCCCTTTATGTGCAATTTCACTCTGGCTGAGAATCGTCCCGAGTGTGACTTCCATACAAAGATTTTTTTTTGCAATCAGGCTGAATCCGAAATCGCCCCCTATACCCTCATTCACTATTCCCTACATTAGTCCACTAAAACAGTTCACTTGAAGGAGTAAATGAAAACTTGTGAGTGAATTCGACACTGAGTGTGCTGGAAGGACTGCCACATTTACATAGTTTGTGCTTGCTGTTTAATAATCATTTGAAACTGGCAAACTGGCAGCTCCAGTAGTAAGATGAATGGATTTATCTTGAACTCTGTCATGGAAATTATGTATAAACCTCAATTTAAAAAATGAATAATCAATTTACAAAGAATTTATACCTGTATTAGGCTGTTGGATTGAATGAGTGCACTCGATAATGTCCACTAAGGTTTCTGACACCACTTAAAATGGCTGTCCCCACAAATAGTGCCCTAATTAAGCATATAGGGGGTGATTTCGGACACAGGCACTGCGTCTGAAATCGCATACTTCCCTACTATATAGTAGGCAAAAAACAGTATGTGAGGCGAGTAGTATGTCCGAATTCATAGTATTCAAAAAAACAATAGGCGAAAAGTACCCGGATAACCTACTTCTTCCTGTCGGATTCTGAAGTGCGCATTCGTTGGACACTTTACTTTTTTATGAGGCCACAGAAGAGGATTTATGAATGGCAATGAAATGATGCAACTGACGCTGGTAGGTCATGTGACAGTAACAACATGGCGGATGTCGTTCGTCATTCAAACTACCCATATTCATACTGGCCGAATTCCAAACGGAAGTGAGCATCCTTATGCCCTACTCCCTTCGAAGGGCAGAGCCCTCGAAGTGTGTTCTTTGAAGGGTGTCGGGCATTACTGTCTCATAAGCGTTTGGAACTCCCTTGATGAAGGGAATGACTGACCAAATGTCACCTTGACCATGCTGCGCGTGCATGCAGCATTCAGCACTTCATCAGTTGTTGCAAATATTTATTCTTCTTATTATTTTATTGTTTATTGTCTTATTTACTATTCATCTTTTTCAAACTAAACTTAGGCTGCTTAAACTTGCTTTCACTACTGTCTCAAATCATATTTCTATCACTGACAAAAAAATATTTTGTCTTACATTAAAATAAAGACAAATTTAATTAGCCTATTCTATTTACATTTGTATGTGAACTCGAAATCAACCCCAACTTTGCTTTAAAAAGCATTGCAATATCTCCTAACCGAAGATCACATGATCACAAACGGAAATCACTTCTGTGACGTGACCATCCCATGTTCCCTTCGTTAATGGACTTCTGCCCTGCGTTCCATTCGGAAAGGCTCATCCCTATGCCCTAATCTCTTCAAAGGGTTTACCCTCCGGAGTGAGAGCTTTGAAGGGATGAAGGGTGTAGGGGTCAAAAAAACTCTTTTTTTGGAATGCACTTCTGCGTCATCTTAACGAGACGATCAAGCAGGCGCCTTCGTCATACATTTTGTACGCTGTTGACCCCCAGTCGGCTTTTACGTTAAATATAATGTATATATGCAATGCAATGTAATGTGATGTAATACAGTATATTTGTAATGTATATTGTGTCTATGTATTTGAAACATTTGAATAGACTGATAAAGGTAGCTGTAAAGTATTTTGTTGAAGTACAATGTCGCTTTGACCATAATAATCCAGTAGCCCCTCACTGCAGAACACAAGATCCAGGGGGCCTGGTTGGATCCACATCTAGGGGGTGGAGATTGGTAAGTTTAGGGGTGGAGATGGGTGGGTTTAGGGATCAGGGGGTGGAGACGGGTAGGTTTAGGTGGGAGGAGTTGGATCTGGATCCAACCACGCCCCCTGGATCTTGTGTTCTGCAGTGAGGACCATCTCTAATAATGTGCCAAATCTAACTTGTAAAAATATTACAGTAGTATAGAAAAATACTATGCATACATTTATAGGCGAAGTTGAACTCTGTGATGCCAAACACTGTGCAAATTATCATGGGGGCCCGAAGTGTCCATCAGTTGTAACCAGGGCCGGTAGCTGACACGGGGCCCGGTGCGAGGTAGGGAGCGGGACCCCCCTCGGTGCGTTCGCCATGGGGCCCCCTCAAGCGCAGGGCCCGGTGCGACCACACCAGTTGCACCCCCCTAAGGACGGCCCTGGTTGTACTCTTCAAAATCCTTCATTCCGAAGGGCCCTTTGAAGTGGTCAGTTTTGAGCCCTTCAAGGGCGCAAAAAAGCCGTTTGGAATTCTAGAACGTATTTTTTAACGGTCGTGAAGTAAATTCAAATTCAAATGTAGTACCTAGTCAGACAGAACGCGATTTTGAACGCACAGAGAGTATGTGTTCCGGGACGGCTAGCACTAACGTGCTTTCGTCATAATACAAAACTTAACTTAACTTAAACTTAACTTGTGCAAACATACCTCTATAAATTATCTTTAAGCTGAAGTCAGGTCAGGACTAGTCTGAATGGCCTGAATAAAGCAAACCCAATATCTCACCAGTAAAGTTTTGATGCATGAGGATTATATTGGAGGTAAAGACAATTACAGTGAAATACAAGAGTCGTACATGAATAGACTAGCGCGAGTCCGTTATTATTAATGTGCAAATAAACAGACCGTGTCTGTGCGCTCACTGATAGCTTTTTGCATGAGAACATTTCAGTATGATCGCATGTCTGGCAAGTGTTTTATAATGGACACTAACTGAAGAAGCGTGTTTATATAGGAGTTTGCTGCGGTCAGTTGTGTTTATATACAGTATATGGGCATCAACACACTGACTGTTCACTGGTGATGTCGAGCCGCCTTCAGATCGCCACATTCGACAAATTCAGAATGTTTGGTTACACATTTTTTTAAGGTGTCCTTGTTACAGTGTAATTATACATTTAAGTACTGAGTAATATTAATTAACTACATGTACTTACTATATGATTAGGGTTTGGTTTAGGTTTACTTGCATGTAATTATTATGCATAATTAATTGTTGTTATTATAGTAGTAAGTACATGTAAGGACACCTTAAAATAAAGTGTTACCGAATGTTTTTATTTACTAATTTGTGTTTTGCTCTGTTTAATAATTCTGAATGGATCCCTATATGTCTATATACAGTCAGGTTAAGGCGACTGGTATTGTGGTCTGTTGGCATCACCGTGTGCTCCTGTTTGGTATTGCAGCTTGACTAAACAAATGACATTTATTTTTTCCTCACAGTTTTTGCTGTTGCGCTGTATACATAAATTGTGAATTATGAACTAATTAAATAATGTTTTAAAATATGTTTTAATTTATCTTGAAAAATTCTTTCAGAACTTTTGTGAGAATCATCCTCAAACTGAATCTTGAACTTGGTAAAACAATTATCTTTATTTAAAATGTTTCAAGTGTTAATACTTTTCCTTTTGTTATACTGGGATAAATCATACTAGGATGTAGGCTATGCTAAAATTGTTGGACGTTGCGCCCTATACCTGAAAAATGTTCCACCATCCGCCACTGTATAATTGCATGAAAAAGAATAACTTTTTCATACAAGTATATTATAGGAGGTCTCACCCCTCCGCCCAATATTCTCCCTCTTTATCCCTTCTCTCTCTCGGCTCGTTTAGTATTCCGTGCACAAGGCTAAGGAGGGAGAAGGGAGGGAGGACAGAGAGCGAAATAGAGAGAAAAAACGAGGCTGTGAAGACAGGCGAAAACACAAAAAGAGAGGAGGAAGAGGGGAGCGGAGAGACACCTCCTCTATCCATCTCGGTCTACCCTTTGGTATCCGTCTGTCCCAGGTGCGGTATTTCAGCCTTTATCTGTCTTTGGGTGTGCGGGGCGGATGTTATGGTGTTGCTGTTGTAACGCGTCGCATGAGAAAATTTATATTTGGATGAATATGAGCTCGGAAGAGAGAGTGTGGATATAATGTAGACAGTCGTTCTGTTTGAGATCTGCATTGCTTTTAACGGTACAGACTCTCTACGGATTGTTGTGTTCAGGTTATCCATAATATATCTGTGTATTTGTGCGCGCGCGCTTATGTGTTGTAAAGGTCTGTACGTCTGTCCGGTATCGTCGTGCAAAAACCTCTCAGCGGCTTCAGTAATCTTCATTTATCAACTGCAAAATCATGCATGAATATGTGCTGAGCATCGTGACCCCGCATTTTCAGACGTGCATATATGTGTGTGTGCAACATTGTATAGAGGGATTATCAGTCAAACACTGTCACTTATGTAATTTTGTTCTTAACTTCCATATTTCCTACTCTACATGCTTAATCTGCATATGCATATATAATTCAAGAGGAAAGGATGTGAAATGTACATATGAAGCTGCTTCCCTCCTCTTCAACCCCTTATCAGTTGTTCCTTCCCCTCCAAACCCCACCTCTCCCCACAGTCTTCAAAGGCAGGCTTACACGGGCTTCTACCAGGCACAGGACCGTAATTATGCAAATATTAATACATCCATATGGAACCGTCACAGGAATCCTCTCCTTCGCTCACTGACAGCATATAACGGCATTGGTAAAAGCCATATGAGGGGGCGATTAATTCCCCCCACAATGTGACGGAGCGGGTGATGACGTTGCCTGGCTGTCGGGCTGCCGAGAGCTTCCCTCTACGCTCTATCTGTGTGGGAGCTGAATCTTAAGTGCTGGCACAGAGCGTCACCAGTATTCCAGGGTTCCTCGCACTGCTCACTGCTCTTTCTTTTGCCTGTGTTTTCCTGTGTGATGTTATAGATAATTTAGATACTCTGAGGTCCTGGACAGCAGAGCGGAGGAGAGAGAGGATGGGGGGTGGGAAACTAGGCCCACATGAAATCTGCAGATTTCCTCGGAATTGGGACGAGTGTCATTCATATAATTCTAGAAACTTCCCACCCCCCTTGCGAATTTGTTTATTAAGTACTTGGGCTAATTTGATTATGCTTTCAGCTAGTCTGAGGAAGTCTGCAGATTCCATCTGGTCCTGAGGCTAACTTGAAGCAGACTTTTACCTGCAATGTCCATTTGCAACCGTTTTGTACAGGTTAGACTGTTTTTGAACAGGACTGAACTCCTTTAAGACACTGAAAACAGTGTTACAGCATGCTCTAAACTACCCCAGCTTGCAGCTACAAGCCACGAAGGCCTAAAGTATCTTTTTTACAGGGATATGAAATATCACCCATGTCTTTGGCCAGCGGCGGAGGTCCGGTTGTGTAAATGACAGCAGCCGATGGCAGGGCAGTTTGTTTAGTATCCAGTGAATAGGCCAGACATCGGAGAGGATGGAGAATGTGTCCAGGAACTCACAGTGTCATGGCAGATATGAGCAAGACGATGAGATGACGCAGTGATCTGGCTGAGTGTTCGTAAGCAGAGGTTGTGACCGCGCTGAAGGCCGTTTAGCCTGGTTTCCTCTTCCAGTGCATTCCAGTGATTTAAGGGAGTGACATGGTACCAGGCGACAAAAGAGTTGGAAGGGTTAGAAAAGCAAGAGAGCGACTGCATTGGAGGGAGAGAGGGAGATGAAGAGAAATTGCTACACGAGTCTACTAAAACAGTATTGTTATCATTTATTCATTCATTTCCGCTTTGCAGAAAGTCTGGAAACATTTTGTTTTGAAGCCAGAGGGGTAAAGAAAATTACTGCTATCTTCCGACAGGTTTAAAAAAAAAAAAAGCAACAGTCTTACAGAAAACAAAAGCAGATTAGACTCCCGATGACACTGCAGATAAGACCACAGGCATGGAGGTGATACAGTGAGTGTGAGGGAAAAAAAGGGAACATAAAAAGAAGGAAAGAAAGAAAAACCACAATGGCTTCATTTAAGAAATTACTCTAATATCCTATTGATTATACTTAATGGATTTACATCCCTTGTCAATAGGAGTGTTCAAATTCATAGCCTCAGTTGAGAAGAAAAGGATTAGCCATCATTTTTCTTTTACAATTAGTCTCAGTCACATCTATCAATTTCAGGGGAATAAGGGAAGTTGTGAGGCAGGATTCCATTGAGTAAAGAGGAAAGGCGGGAAAACTTCAAATGGAGGCAGGCGATTGTGGAAACTACAAATGCTTCATACATACGGAATGTGGAATGTGCCTCATATTTGCCTAAAATGTACGTTTGTTATTCTCAATGTATCTTAGTGGTGCTTTAAGCTAAAACATTCAATGCCAATAAGCTGCTACATACTCACACATCACATTATATACTTAATGGATTTGTTAGAAGGGTTCAAATTTATAGTCTCAGAAGAGAAGATTTTTAGCCTCAGAAGAGAAGATTATTGGTTTATTATTTGTCTTTTATATATATATATATATATATATATATAATTTTACCTTACATATATATCTTGCATACATTGATATATGTGCAAAATGAATAAATGTACACATTACATTTTTAAAAGTTGCATTTGGAGATGGATTACATGGTTCAGAAATGGTTGGAATCCCATGACACCTCTGATTTCCATAACACAGCAACTAAAACATTTGTTTATATTTACATATCTGCATATTTAAACACTAGATTTGAGATTGGAGAACAGCTCAAAGAGTTGCAATACTGAAGCAGACTGCCAAACAAAAAAATAGATACATTTTATCATGTGTATGGTTTGAATGATGTGCATATATTTGATCCTGTGGATCATCATCTTATGCCAGATTCTTTGCAAGCAAAATGGAAGACCCTGCATCCGGGCATGTCGAGGTTTGTCATCTTTTGAAGACTTTACAGCAACTTAACCATTAGCCTACAAACCAGTCAACTTAAATAGGACAGTGGACGTTGCCTGCGGGACAAAACTAATTGCATCGTTCTTCTTAATAATTCTTAAATAATTTCACCTCAGGGCCGAGGACTGAACCTCAGACCCATCTGCTCTCTGCTGTATAAACAGGCAGTGACCTGAGCGACTGCTGCTGATCTGTGGTGTTGACGGACAGCCCCTCTGACAGATCTCGACTTGAGACACCTGACAGTTGTGTAGTGAATGCCAGGTGTCTTATGTATGAACAGTCAGCAACATTATTATTGTCAGTAACTTGCCTTATGACAACCCACATTTGTGAGTGCTGGCTGCAGTTATTTAGAGGTTATTAGGACCAGTTGTATTGTAGGATGGCCTCATTTGTCACGCTAGCTCATGTCCGCCAAAACATCTGCAAATCCGCTTGAATGGATCAAACTGGTGGAATTACAAATTAAAATATTAATCCACTCGGACATCATTGCTTTCAGTCTCGTCCGAAATGATATAAATGTGAAATGATGATTTGTGTGCCATTTTTAGAGGACACTCAGCTTTTAAATTAAAGCTGCACCTCTGTTCCTGTGACCTTTTATTAAGCTTGCAGTGTTTTACAAGGATTTATTGACTGATAGTCAACAAAGGTGATTATTAATGATTGACAAAAAAAAAAATTGCTTTTGTACATTAATAATAATAATTAAATATTATGCATTTGCTTGTTAATAGTGAAGTCCAGACTACGGTGTGTGATGGTTTTTTTTGTTTTGTGATAAGCTGATTCAAACCGATTGTTCATTTTGTGATTAAACAGAATTTACAAAGTAACATTTTCAAATGGTTTTTAGTTTTTAAGTAATTGATTTTATGTTTATTTCAACATGAAGTGCTCTACTGAGATCATCTCTTCTGCTTTGAAATCACTTATTGTTGTCCGTCATTCAGTGACACCGCGATCTGATCTAGTCTTTCTGCTTTCTGGGTGTTGTCTGAATTGTCTAGGCACCAAACAGAGCTGCAACCTTCAAATGTTTCCATATTTAATGGCAATGCAATTATGGCCATTTTGATGGATGTCTCTAAATATTGACCTTTCTGGTTGTTTGTGTCCGTGTTCATACCCAGATAATCATTGCATTTCATTATAGGTTTTCATCTCTAGTGTGTGATTGGACAGGGGCTTTTATGGCCTTTATGACATGATTGGACTGTGGCAATTGTGTCTGGCTTGCGTGTGATTGGACAGTGACCATACAGGTTGCTGGGGTCCCTGTTGTGGGGTATTGCTTTTCCTGGAGATATCGATTGAGACCTGGGCAGCAGTCAATGGAATGTCTGAGACAGGTTTCTTGTTCTGTTGTCCGCGTGTTTCATGTCAGTGTCACATGGATTTTACCACCACATTATTCTATTCCGTTTTTTTTCCATACGCACAGCCCATAATGCCCTGAGTGTTGGTGTAGTTTTATTACAGCATATCACTTGTAAATGCCTGTCCTCTAGACATTTACACTTGCATCACGATGCTTTTTTCGTCTGGACTCCAAGGCCACATGCTATATGCCCTTCAGACTTCTTTTTCTTCTAAAGCCTTATAGTTTGTCTTGCTCTGGCTTTCTCTTTCATTGCCTCTTTCTTTCACCTGCTCTCCCCTCTCAGTTCCTCTCTAACTTTGTTCTCAATCGACCTGGCATTTCTGAACAGTGACACTGTAGTTCGCTGCCAGACGGCCATCTTTCAGATTGAGCAGCATTTTCAAAGTCAAACTCAGACAGATTTACAGGCTGAACTGTTTTTTTTGGGGGGGTGCTTTTTAATGAGCTAATCTGAGGCTCATTTTTACAATGGACTGAAGATCTGAGATAGACAGTTAAATGGACCTCAGTCTGTTTGGGTTTCCTTTAGATGACGCTCCGGACTGATGGACCACTTCGGCACGCAGATTAGGCAAGGATCGAATGAGTGTGTGGGTGAACATCTTGACCTGAGTCCTGCCCCGAATGACTTATAGCTGTACTTAAGGCTTTGACTGATTGATTGATTGATGGATCAGAGTGGGAAAGATGGATGGAAAAGACGCAGCTAGCTGGAGAGAAACCATCCACCTTACAATGAAAGACCAATGACATTTTACAGACCTAAAAAGCATGAAAGAATAGCCTATCAGAATGACAGATGGACGATCGGCTCAATAAGAGGAGGTGTCCCGTCAGAGATAAACAGATCAGACTTCTTGAGGCATTTCACTGGCTTGAAAAAACTCTGACGATCATTGAATCGATTTGCATATTGATAGATTTGCACACTTTTTCTGGGCTTGCACTGTTTTAGCTGATGCAGAGAGGGGAGGAAGACGGAGAGACAGAGGGGGTGGAAAGAAACACTTGGAGGAGAGCTGAGACACGGAGCAAAAGAGAAGGCAAATGAAAGGTGGAGCTTTGACCTGGTTTTGTGAGACAGAATGAGCACAGAACAAAGGAAGAATACTGAGAGATATCATAGATATAGATCCTCATGCTGACAAATTATATACACACGGTCCCTCAGCAGATGAATTGCTACAACAATTTTTTTTTTAATGCTGTCTGATTTGTGAAAACACAGATTTGTAACATGTATTTTAGGTTCTTTGTAATTCAAAAATCATAACATTTTGATCATTGTAAACTAGATAGCAAAAATGTAATTACTGCAGTCTTTATGGTAACACTGCATTAAAGTCCTCTTTATGGAAAAAGTGCTGGTAGCTTTACTCCTTAGTGTAGATCTGACCTGTATTCTAATCCATTAACGAAAAGCTTCTTGAAATTACAAATGGATGAACTCTGTCTAGTGCTGTGGTGTTGATGTAATAAAATGTTGTGAATATTGGCCTACTTAACGTGAACCTGAAGTGCATTTATCCTCTACATGAGGGTTCAAAGTTTGCCCATTCAAAAGCATTAAAAAACAAGGTTTGTTTTAGTGTTTTCAATGCTCTTCGTCTGCAGTGTGCTGTGAGTGTGAGAACTGTTCTGTGTTGTGTGATTGTGTTGTGTCACGCCCCATTTTCACATTTGGTGTGGACAGACAAATTGCCTGTCACTAGAATCTTGTTGCGTTGCACTCTGTTAGGATTCGGTGTTAACCATGAAGGTGAAGTGTGTCTACCGAATTACAATGTTAAAATGCGTTTTGGCAAGGATACTTCTAAATAAACTTAAGTACAAAATATAATAAAAATAGAAACAGTTATTTCAAATTGTAATAATATTTCACAATATTATTTTTTACCACATTTTTTATCAAATAAATGCATAAGAGACTTTTTTCAAAAAACAATCATACAGACCCCACATTTTTAAATAGTAGTGTATGTTTTGTCTGCAATACTTATTTGGATTCAGTATAATAATTATGAAACCAATCCCAGTTTAGTATTTGTGAACAGGTATTATTACAGTATGTGATCCTGACACAACAACATTTGCATAACCAATAGTGTGAGTTTGGGGTGGGGCTATCATTTAATCAGACCAATGGTCTGAAAACATGAATTATTATCTTGTTCTCTTTGGTAACACTAGTGGTGCTGAAATTTCACACTTTAGCTTTAAAGATATCAAACAGAACATTACAAAATTACAATTACAAAACATTACAAGTTTAGCATCGAAATTACTTGTCACCTTTAATCTTCAGAGTATCATGCAACAACAGCCTACAAGATAAACTTGTTTTGTGGTTGACCACATCCTCGTTCCCAAGATGCACTGTACAAGGAGAGCTGTTTGTCTTTGGGAAGAAACAGAAATCCAGAATGACTGGTTCTTCTCTGCATGCTATTGAGCTTTGCGAACACAGCGGGTTGCCTTGATAATTTAACCATAATTTTTTTACAGCAGTTTTTTTAATGATGTGTGCCTCATTTTTTCTCTCTCTCACACACACTCTCCCTCTCTTTTCAGGCAGTTTCAAAGCTCCTGTAGAACATTCCAGAAATACAGCCACGGACCACAATGAGCCGTAAAGCTTAAATGGAAAAACAAAGAGAGAAACCTAGTGGAAATAGACCATACATCTCAAATTCAACCCTGCCCTGATGCTGCTTTAAGGACTGAGCCTGCAAACACTTTCCTCTTCCCTGACTGATGATTTAACTGAGAGTAATAGTCCACAAAATCTAGGCTATGCTTTCTGAACAACAGAGCTATATATAGTCTAGCTGTTTATCCATTGAGCAAATTCTTAATATCTATGTGAATTGAATTGGTTTCGACCTTCTTCACCATGACAAGGACTCAGGGATGTCATTGTCATCCTTTATAGCAAGTATGTGCACAAAAACATCTTGTGAGCAAAGCACATTCAATTCAATAATGAATTTTACATAATGAATGCATGCATTGTCTTCTCCTCCCTTGCTCTCATTTCTTCTTTTTTCCCTCTCTCCTGTTTTTTTTCCCCAGGAGCCTATGTTATTATTGAAAAGGGTAATTGTGGCACACTTACCAATGGGTTTAGCAACCATTAAAGCTTTCAATTAACGGTCATAAAGAGAACGTCTCGGCTCTTTGTCGAAACGTTGTCCTTCAGAATCCAAAACGAGCACCTGTATTATCGGAATCGGCAGAAAGTGACCAGACACACCCTCTCCGCTCAGTTGGTGTGGGCGGTGAGAGCTGTGCCACGATTGGTTGAGTGCAGGGTGGGTGTGCGATGCGGATTGGAGGATGTCGGGGGACTGGGAAGACGACCTTTGTAAGAAGGCGTTGGTGCTGGTGGAGGAACTGTGCTTCCGGTCTGGAGGCTTGAGCCAGAGTGCGAGCTGTCAGGAGTTCAGCTACATGATGAGAGGACCTAACGGACAGCTGAACACAGGTAAGAGCATAGCACAACCTGTTAAAAGGATGGTTGATCCAAAAATGATCATTCTGTCATCATTTACTCACTTTCATGTTGTTACGAACCAGTTTGACTTACTATTTTTCTCCATGGTACTCAAAAGGAGCCATTGTGCAAAGTGCTCTCTTGTCCATGCAGTAACAATGAATGGGGACTACAAAAAGAGCTCAAAGGCATCATAAAAATGGTCCATATGACTTATATTCTAAGTCTTCTGAAGTTTCACAGAAGAAAGTCTTACAGGTTTGGAATGACAGGAGGGCGAGTCATAAATGATGACAGAATTTTCATTTTTGGGTGAACTATCACTTTAAAGCCTATTCAGAGCTTGAATTGCTATGATTTATGTATGACATCTAACCAAAATACTGACTTGGACCTGACAAACGGCCTAAAAGGTTCATTTTCATCATCAGCCTACCTCACTGAGTCATGTGACCAGGAAAGAGCCTCACTGGTAAAAGCTGCTCGTTCATGTAATTACGCCTGGCCGTTTTACTTTGTATTCACGCCATGCCCACCACAGGTGTTATGGCTGGATGCTGTGTTCAGAGTGAGACTGTCCTGTTTACAGATTTAGTCATTATTGTTTAAATTCCCAAGTGCCCAGTGATTGAAATGGAATTGGACTTGCATTCTCTCTAATATGAAATGGCACAACCGCAGTTAATTGAAATGGCTCTAAGCTCCTTGTGAAAAGAAGGGTAAAAAATGAAACTGCGTAGGCTTTCCTTCCTAGGGTCTCCAAACACCCAACAATCACCCAAACGGAGGAGGCTGTCAGTTAAAGCTAATCATTGTCTTTATTTCTTAAAGGGATAGTTCATCCAAAAATGAAATTGTTTTCATCATTTACAAACCTGTTTGACTTTATTTCTTCAGTGGACACCAATGAAAATTGTCTTCATGCTTTTTTTTTTGTCCATATAATGAAAGTCAGTGGGAGTCAATCTTATTTGAATGGACAAAAACATTTAAAATATTCTTTAAAAAAAAAAAACAGGTCAATATAAAAAAAAAGTCATACAGGTTTGAAACAACGTGAAGGTAAGTAAATTGTGACAGAATTTACATTTTTTTAACCCAAATGCTGGGTTCAGCCTGTTTTATTGGGTTATTTTTAATATTTTTACCCAGGTGCTGTGTAGTTTTTCTGCACTCTAAAAAATGCTGGGTTCAGCTTGTTGGGTCATTTTATTGGGCTATTTTTAATATTTTTTACCCAGGTGCTGGGTCGTTTTTCTGTAACTCAGCTGCTGGGTCATTTTTTACTGTCAATACAAATAATAAACCTGCCAAGCACGGGGTCAGTGTAACCCAATTTTGGGTAGTCTGTGCCAAACCAGTTCAAACTGGATACATTTGTCAGCGGTCATTTTGTGTTCTGCTCTGAGAGAAAACTCGACTGACGGGAAACTTCCTGAATGAAATTAAGGTTTGTATTACATTGTATTCCTATCAAATTATTACTGTATAAATAGGAAAACGTCTGTAAGCTCTCATTTTTTATTATTTTTTTGTTTAAATGTACTTCGCAGCTAACGTCTGCTTGTAACGCTAGCCTTCTACAAACGCAGCATTCACCAAATCTCCACACAAAGCGAAGGACCCGCCACCTCCTGCCAAACGAATGCACAACCAGGGCTGAAACACGACGCGACACCGCTGTTATATGTAACAAAGTTTCCGTGCTCTCCACTGACTGCAACAGGATTGCTATTGGTCTACGTAGTGCACCATTGTTGCAGCTGTGGTCGCGCTATGCATTTGACGGGTCGAAACTTAAATGTCTGACAGACAAGATGGCACAGACAAGATGGTAAAGCTGTTTTTGTTGTAACTTTTCAAACATGAATATAAGATAAGTCATGATTATAAGTGTAACACAGTTCGTAGTTCGGGAAGAAGGAGGCGGGAACCGGCGAACGTTCAAACAAAACTTTAATAACAAAATAAACACAAAATAGCGTGACAGCCCCTCGCGGACGACTGTTGCGCACAAACAGAACCAAAACACAAAATAAAATCCAGGCCTGGTCCTCTCTCGTCGTTCACTGTCGTAGCTCCTCCTTTTATCCTTCCGGAGCTCCTTCGTGGGACTCCAGACCGGTGAGTGGTGCAGGTGTCGCTCATTATCAATTACTCCACCGGTCTCGCTCCATTCCCACGGCTCTCGGCCCAGCCCCACTCATCACAATAAGTCATTTAACGAACTGGAACAGCCTACTGATAGCAGTTTTCTTCCCACAGATTCCCTTTGGCTGGTCTTGCTGCTCCTGTCACGTCCTAAAACCTTTACTGAAGATTTTATGATTGCAAGAGACTGACTTGACATTGAATAAAAAAATATTGTAAATGAACTGTTCTTCTCCTATATATAAAACAGATTTTAGAGCACATTTTTATTATTTCAAATGAAAAACCTTCAATAGGTTGACTAACCCAGCACAATGTCAAAAACAACCCAGCAAATGGGTTAATGTATAAAACCCAACAAGCTGGGTTGAAATAACCCAGCATGTGCTCTGTCCAATATTTACCCAGTGCTGGGTTTCCAGATAACCCAGAAATGGTTGTTTTTAACCCAGCATTTTTTAGAGTGTATAATGCTTTCAGGATGTTTTGCATATGTTTATTCTAATGAATTCTGGACATTTGCTTACATGAACAGGTTTTGTCAGTCATTAAACGTCGGTCATTAGTTATTAGGGCGGTGCTGGATTCAATCCTGCATTTTGTATCATGAAAGATATGTTAGAAGCAGGGTCCAAAATTACATTTACATTTTACATTTATTCATTTAGCAGAGGCTTTTAGCCAAAAGCAACTTACAAATGAGAGTAACACAAGCAATTTGTCCAAGGAAGAACGCAATATAAATAGTGATATTATACCAAATTTCCAAGTAGTGCGACGCTAGAGGAAAATTATCACTCAGCAAGCACCAAATGCAAGTAAAAATGGCATAAAAACATGTCAGTGGCTGGTAACTTTATAAGGGACTGCAATATAATGCATGATTTCAAATCAATTGTGTGAAGGATAGTCTGAATCTCTCTTATGTAAGCAAAGTGAGCAATTCAAATCAAAGACATACAAACCATCTGCTAAAGAAAACATCTGACACCTTTACCTGGTGATCGAAAGCTGGAAAGCACTAAAGTAGCTAATGAAAACATGTTCATGATGTTGTTTTGCTGAATGCATTGCAAAATAGTGACATGCATAGCTGAGCAGGACAGGCAGCTTACCGTAGTATTAATTACTGGGAAACTAAAGGAAGCTGCCTTAGGCTCTTTAAACTCTTCTGTACTCACAGTATGCCCCATATGTGCACTACAGCTGAAGGGTAGTCATGCTGTCAAGCATAGTGTAACAAGGTGAAACAGACTATTTTTAACCCTTAGTCCCTGTATAAGCTACGGTCAGTTACCGCTCAGTTGTAAAGCAGGATTGAACATTTCGATTTGGATTTGCAGCTTTATCCAAAGACATTTTGCCACTCTCTATTTTCTATTAAAGTGTAATTATTAGCAAGCTCAGGATAAAACCCAAAGTGACTCACGTTTGATTCCTCTCAAACTGCAGGGTGTTAAGTTAATTTTAGCATAAAGTAACACTAAAATACTCTGTAAATTACTCACCACTGCATATCTGTTGCACAGTAAAAAATGTTCAAAAGTTCAGGGACAGTAGGATTTAAATAAATAAATAAATTTAAAGGGATAGTTCAGCCAAAAAAATTCTGTCTTAATTTATTCACCCACCAGTTGTTTCAAACCTGTGTAATTTTCTTTCTTATTAATGTTAGTAACCAAACAGTTGCTGGTAGCCGTTGACTTCCATAGTATGGAAAAAAAATACTATGGAAGTCAATGGCTAACTTCACCTGATAATTCTTCAAAAATATCTTCTTATGTATTCAGCAGAAGAAAGAAACTCATACAGGTTTGGAACAACATGAGGTTGAGTAAATGATGACAGAATTTTCATTTGTGGGTATATCCTTTTAAGCAAGGCTGCATTAAATTGATCAAAACAAGTCACAGTAAAAACCTTTACATTGTTACAAAAAAAACCTAACCTTTTTTTTTACAAAAAAACCCTGAAAAAAAGTTGCATAGTTTCCACAAAATATTAAGCAGCACAACAGCATATTAGAATGATTTTCTGAAGTGATTTCTGACACTGAAGTCTGGAGTAATGACTGCTGAAAATTCTGTTTTGCTGTCAGAGGATTAAATTACTTTTTGAAATAATATTTCACAGCATTACTGTTTTCAATGTATTTTTGTTCAAATAAATACAGCCTTGGTGAGCACAGACTTATCTTACTAATAAACCTAGCATGAAAAAGTACCTAATATAATAAGTTTGTAAGTTTGAATGTTTAATATATATTTCTTGAATATTTATTATTTAAAATATTTAAATATGCATTATGTAATACCAGTGGTGGACAGTAACGAAGTAGTTTTACTTCGTTTACTTTTGTACTTTCACTCGAGTAAAATTGAAAACTGAGTACTTTTACTGGAGTAATATTTTATTATACGGATCTGTACTTTTACTCAAGTACTTGATTTGTGTACTTCGTCCACCACTGTGTAATACATATTTCATATATTTATTTATTGTACAGTATGTCCTGTCTTTGTATATTTTTAAAACTCAAGGAATGTATAATTTATTATTGTAGAAGTTATAAGGCAAAAAATTTTGAAGGCTTATTGGATAGATAAAAGTAAATGTCATATTATGCAACTGCACAATCCTGCATGGACAGCTAACAAATTACTAGCTGCTCTTGCTTTAAGAAGAAACGATGCAACCAAATTAAGTACACAGTTAAGACTACAACTCTACCCATCTCTTTAGGAGGCGGTGATGGTGTGGAAAAGTCTGTGAGACAAGATGACATGAAAGGCTTAGCAACGGTGCAGAACGCTGATCCTCCTGGTTCAGCCAACCCAGAG